TCAAGAGTTTGAGCTCTGAGCAACAGCGGTTCGAGTCAGCCCGAGCTGAGCAGCCGTGAGCTGCCAACAGGTGGCGGGATGGCTCAGCTAAAAAAAAAAAAAAGAAAAGGCAAGCAAATGAATTCTCCCCTAGAGCTTCCAGAAGAGACACAGCTTCAATGACCCCTTTTTAGACTCCTGGCTTCCAGAACTATATGAGAATAAATTTGTGTTGTTGTAAACCAATAAATTCGTGGTAATTGTTAACAGCAGCCATAGGAAACTAATACATACTGCATTATTAGTGGTTAGAGTGTCTAGCCAACCAAAGGTTGTACGATACACTCATTAGATCACATCTAAAATGTTAGGTTCAGTTCTGGTTTGAGTTCAGGAAGCATGTTGACAAAGTCAAGTCAGATCTTGAAGAACTTTAAAGTCATAACAAATGAAAAGGAACTGAAAAGACTGGGTATTTTCAGCCTGAATAATATTAAGACATAGCAGTTGTCTTCAAATGTTTGAAGGATTAACATGTCAAAGAAAGATTAAGATCACTGAAACCCCTGAGGGCAGAATTAGGACAAATAAATTGTGGTGACTGGGAAATTCAGATTATTTTAATGAAGACATTTACAACAACCAGAGCTGCAGAGTAAATGCTGTGCCTTGTAAGGTAGAGTTTCCATCATTGGAAGCAATCAGTCAGAGGCTGAGTGGTAACATTTCGTGATGTCAGCAAGGATTCCCCCATAGAGTCAAGATTGGTCAAGACTGCACTCAGCATCTTTAAGATTTGAGGACTTGATGACTGTAGAAAGACAACGCATATTTTCACTGGAGTCCAAATCTTTCTCGTGCTAAAATTTATAATTAAATCTCATGGGAAAATTAAAACAGCAGTAGCAGGAGTTCCCACTTCTGTTGCTTGTGTAACTTTCAAGGCAGTATTTAAATCTTTTTAAGAGCTGTCATCTTGATAAGTCAAGTATTGAGGTCAGCATCTCACAGTTGGTGCACCTCAAAGACAGCAAGGCCACCATAGTGGGGGGCCACGGGTCGACCAGGAGGAAGCTGAAGACTCCCCACTCCTCCTTTCAGGCTGAGCTGGGGGACCTCAGTTCTGCCCTGTCTTCAGAGTGGCCACACCTCAGCTTAGTTCTAAGTCCACAAACCAAACAGTATCTCTGTGGGTCAGGAGTGTAAGCAGGAAGCAGTATGTGAAAAGATGCTCAGGGCAATGGACGGCTCTCCTGTAGGGAACCAAGACGCCTATAGTGATAGATTTGAGAGGAGAGGACAGAATAAAGAAGCAGCCTGTTCCGCTGATGAGTATCAACGATAGCATTTTCCACCTGGCCCAAGTTTCTCAATAGAAAGTAGATGATCCAGCTAGGGGCCCACTGGTACTCTCTCACCTGTCCACACTGTTTTCTGTGGAAGGCTTGAATAATGTTGTTGCTGCTGCTGCTGCTTGATTTGCAAGAGAAAGCAAAGTGCCAATTAAAAACAGTTCTGTGGTCATCCTCCCCAGGCTCCATCCCTTCCTCTGACAGCACTCAGGCTTACAGCACTGGCCTTCCTGCAGGCATCAGGCACCGCCTGCCAGCTGCAGCCCAGGGAAGGAAGGCAGAAATGCCTATGTCAGTTGATTAAAATGTTCTCAGTCGACGTGTCTGGACAAGTACCCATTTACTTCACACCCAGAGATGATTGTGGCCATAGCTACGTTTAGACATAATATTGACCTGCTTGATAACAGTGTTCCTACGTTGCTGCCTCCCCTCCTTTGTTCTCCCCTTCAGTGGCTTGTGTATGTGTCTTAATACCTAGTTGTTAGATTTCTGTTTTAATTCAATAGACTTTTTTAAGGCAAGAGAAAAAGAAACCCTGCCTGAAGACTGGGTGAAGGCGCTTTCAGAAGAGGACTAGATTCCTTTACTGCACCTCTGTCTTGCAGGAGTCACGGCCTGATGTTGTTTGCCTCTCACTTCATGATGGGCAGCACCGATAAGTTGCTAAGGGCGTTGTGTCAGCCTCCATATCTCCTTCAGACTCCCCCAAACCATCACAGACTGACTCCCAAGTTTAGGTGAAAACAGCATACCCTCCAGGCAGACACCCACCACCGCTGCAGCCCCACTTCCACCATTACACTGCCTCCAATTCTCCTGCCAGAAGTGCTGGAGCTGCCCCTGAAGGTGACCTGGAGCACAGGCTTCTGGTGAACAGAGCACAGCTGTGCCTCCTTCACCTCAGTTAATGCTGGGTTCCATCCAAGATCAAACTTTAAATACCCAAAGGCATTTTTCTAGGAAAAGAGAAAAGTCTTAGGTGAATCCTTTCACATCCAGGTTTTCTCATCTGCCAAATAGGAATAATAATGGTTCCCAAGTCACTGGGCAATTATGGGGACTATAGGACTTAATTCATGTAAGGCACTTAGCAGAGGGCCCACCTGGCTCTTAATACTGTTAGTTCCTTTTCTAATCACTGAATGAATGAATGTAAACTGAATTTATACAAATGTGTTATGAGTGAAAAATTTACACCCAGATTTGATTATTGATATAACAGAAGTGAGAATATCACCTCTTATATGTGGACATTTACAGTACTTTGTTTGTATTTTGCGCTGTGAAAAGTTTTTTGGTTTTTTTTTTTAGGACTACACTTTGTTATATGAAGAGGCAAAATATTTTCAGCTTCAGCCCATGTTGTTGGAGATGGAAAGATGGAAGCAGGACAGAGAAACTGGTCGTTTTTCAAGGCCCTGTGAGTGCCTCGTGGTACGTGTTGCCCCAGACCTCGGAGAAAGGATCACGCTCAGTGGTGACAAATCCTTAATAGAAGAAGTATTTCCAGAGATCGGCGACGTGATGTGTAACTCTGTCAACGCAGGTTGGAATCACGATTCGACGCATGTCATCAGATTTCCACTGAATGGCTACTGTCACCTCAACTCAGTCCAGGTATAGCATTGTCATACATTGTGTGACATTGAATGTCACTCTTAATGCTGTTACTTAAACTTGCCTTCACATGGTATCTTTCCTCCAAAAAGCTGGAAAACTCTCTTGTGGTAATGTTTCTGTTGGGTAGGTAAACCTATTCACCCCTCTACAGCACTCACTCAGTCATTCCACAGATATTTATTGAACATCTGCTATGTGCCAGGTTGCTGGTATGAGCACTGGAAATAGAGAAGAGAAAAAAGGAGACAACAGTTCTGTTTTCATGGAACTTACATTATGGGAACGGAGTGGGGGGTAAACAATAATCAACATAAAAATGTTAGTTAAGTCGTGAGAAGAGGATAGCTGGGATAGAGTATCTGGCAGAGGGACCAGCACATCCTGAAGATCCTGAAGTAGGAGTATGTTTAGCATATTGAGGACTATCAGGAAAGCCAGTGTGGTTTGAAGAAAGTACAGCCGGAATAGGAAGGGCCAAGAGGCCAGCGATAGCCAGGAGCAGATTGCGGATTGCCTCATAGAGGGTGGTAAGCACTCTGGATTTTTGGTTTGGGCTTCGGTTCATTTGCTGGCATGAGTAAAATGGAAAGCCATTTGACGATTTTGAGCAAAAGAGTAACATGATGCAGCTTGGATTTGAAAATGAGTACTCAGCAGGATGTGGAAGACAATGGAAGCAAGGGGACCAGTTAGAAAGTGATGGTCTAAGCAAGAGTTGAGAAGTGTCCAATTCTGAATATCTTGAATTAGAGCTAACAAAGTTTTCTGATGATGACTGCAAGTTGTGAGATGGAAGCCGGGATTTTTGATGGAGGAACTGGATGGAATTGCCATTATCTGAGATAGAGAAGTCTACGGGAGATGGATACTTACACCATGAGTGTTGCCATGTGCCTCAGACATTGGTGGGCGTGGCCATTGTCTTAACTCACATGTGCCAGCCCTGGGCTTAGGGTTGTACATGCACTGTCTTCTTATAACAACTCTAACAGGTGAACACTATTGATCCCTCTATCTTGCTGATGAGAAAACAGAGGCATACTTGAGTCTTGACTCCAGGTCTATGTGACTCAAAATGATTTGAAGTCAATGGAATGAGGGTTCCACCCCCTTTTTAATTAGAATGGGCCCATGACTTTGTTCAATCAATACTGACCCAAGAAAACTTCTCCCAAAGCTCAAAGACTAGAAGCGCACACTCTACCATTCTGCTTCTTGAGTGTTCCACAACTATTTATAACTTTTTAAACTGATGAACAGATGTCTGAGAGCAGAAGAACAGCAAAAGCTGTTGGCAGAAGCTAAGCCCGGGAATGCTAGAGGAAGGCACACACTCTCGGAGGTTGTCCGGGTCCAGAGGTGCACCCATGCGTTGTTTCTGAGCCTGGCCTCCCTGACGGCCCTTCCCCTCTCCTCTCCTCTCCACGGAGGAAGGGGCAGAGCGGAGCCACTCAGAGCCAGGACAGCATTTCATCACTTCTCTAAGTCTCCATCTCTCACACGGAAAGCCTCTGCCCTACCCCTTGGGCCACTGAATAACTATCATACATTCATGTGCCTGACAAGTTTCCACATCACTCAAGTCTGATCAGATATGGAAATTTTCACTTGGATTAATGTTGTCATATGACATGGCCATGACCCACTCTAGCTTCCTGTTCCACCAACCAAGAAATAAGCACTGTGCACTAGGCTTTCAGAGACTTTGAGATAAAGCACCTGAGACCCGAGACCCCATGGAGTGACTTCTAATATTGTCAAATGATCATTAACATTAAGGAACTATGCTATTAACAAGTTGATGTTTAAAATATAATGGCCAAGAAGCATAAGATATTTGCATTCCATTGAAATGAGCTTTAACCACATCCCAGGTAACATTGGATCATATTGAATATCTTATGCATATTGAACTCCCTCGGGGAGAAGCGTAGGGATTTCCTTATATTAGAAATTTAGCAACTATAACACCGAAAGACAGGACATCAGAGTTCAGTTCTTTATCATTCAAAGCTTCGTCTACCTTTGTAATTCCTGTCCTCATCACAGCAATGAGTCCTTTCCAGAGAGGTGGGTAGGCCGAGCAAACTGGGCCTTTTCTTGCTGACAGGCTACATTCCTGCCTCAACTGGGGAAATCTTAGAGTGAGCTGTTCTTTGCCTTTTTATTTACCTGCCACCAAAGCGCATATTGATTTTGAACTTAGAGTGTCTTCTTCACCCTTCTGCTGCCTGGTATGCATGCGTATGCGCTCTGACTATATCTCCAGAAATAGAGCCATGCAGGGTAGAAGGTTCATTTTGTTCTCATGAGGACTTGTGCTTTAATTTGCCAACACTTGAAGTTTTAATTTTCAGGAAGCATACATTCTCTTGCTTTCCCATCTTATCTAGATATATGTTTTACAAGATAGATTATACTCCATATAAAAGTAGGTAACCAAAAAAGAAAAATAATTTTAAAAAACATTAAGGGTTCACTTTACATCGACTACATTTTGAAAGTTATTTAGTAGCATTTCACTTCATTCCAAAAAAAAAAAATTAAGTCAGACATTTTTCTAAAGTTATGGTTGAGTCATCTTGCTTTTAGACGGGTATAGAAGTAATTTAATTATAAGCAAATTCTGGCAGGGAATATTTGCAAGTCTAATATTTGTTGGATTCCTAAAGAAACAAAATGCTCTAGTTCAGTCTCCTGTATTTTTGCTTATCTAAGAGATGCAGGAACTGTTTCTGGCGTTTGAGTGTGTAGTGACAAACCTAGGGATCTTTCTGGCATTAGGTATTTGATTTCAGAATTAAAGAATCGATTAGGCTTATGTTTATATGAGATGTTTAGAATTTCTTTATTTTGGATATATGTTCTAATATATCACCATTGCATTTATTCTTGCCTCCCTGAATGCACACAAGGCAATAAATCTATTTCCAACTTGAAAACCTGGAGATAAACCTCAATTATCTCCAGTAGTCCATTTGTTCTACTATTTGAAATGGCATCAATCTTCCAAGCTGAACTATATTAACTCAGTATTGGGAAACTTGAATAATGGCAGAGTTAAGAGTGAATGAGTTGAGAGTGAATCACTGGCTAGTAAATTCAGATAATATCACTGACTTTCCACATCCTTCATCTTATAGAATATATTTTTATGGTAAGTGAGCTTTGAAATGTGAAACTTTTTTTTTTTTTTTTTGCAGGGAAGGTAGTGTCACACATTGCAAAAAACATGGGATTTGAGGCCAAACAGTCCTGAGTTGGAAACCCAGTTCCATCACTTAACTGTGAGCCTCAGCTCTCTCACCTAGAATATAAAATGAGCTAACACCACCCATTATGCTAGGAGGTTGTAATGACTAAATGAGCTTGGCCTATGGAAAGCTAGCATAGATAGGCACAATTTAGGTATTAGAAATGTTTGCTGTCTCCCTCCTGCCCTTTAATCCAGAATCTTCATTTGAAAGCAGAAACTCCAAGAGCGGTTGGAGAAGCTTGACCAGAGCTGCACATGCTCTCAAGCTTTGGCAAGACAGTTCTTTGGGTTGATTATGTGGGCAAAGGGCGTATCTCCCCTCTAACCAGATGCTTGTCTTGGCTCCTCGCAGGTCCTCGAGAGGTTGCAGCAAAGAGGATTTGAAATCGTGGGCTCCTGTGGGGGAGGAGTGGACTCGTCTCAGTTCAGCGAATATGTCCTGCGGCGGGAGCTGAGGCGGACACCCCGCGGGCCCTCTGTCATCCGGATAAAGCAAGAGCCTCTGGACTAAACGGACATATTTCTTATGCAAAAAGGAAAAAACATACACAACAAATAACGCAAACAAAAAAAGGACATTTATGTGCAGTTGGGACAGCAAACCAAGTCCTGGACATAAAATTGAATAAAAGACACATTTATATCCAATAGAGACCACACCTGTATTCACATGGGAACAATTGGAATAGTGATATCCTCAAGGTGTAAAAAATATATAAATATATATATATATATGTCAAATGGTAGGAAATGCAAAAAAATTTTAAAAATTAAAAAAATAAAGAAAAAAAAGGTGGTAGCTACAGTTGGTGCTGTGATGGCCGTGAAGTGTCCTGGGCCTCCCAAGGCCTCTGACCAATAAACAAGCCATGAGCAGTGAGGACGCATCTCCTTACAGTTTCCATTGCCAACAGCCATCCATTGTTTCTTTTTCTTTGTCTTTCCTTTTTCCTTTTTTGTTTTTCTTTTTTTTTTAAAAAAAAAAAACACCACAACATACCATACCTTGAATTGAGTTTCTTTGCATATGGAGGTTTCATGCCTCTCTTTAGGCGGGGACTGGGCAGGACGTCAGAAAAACTCTTATGAGCACATTGCATTCAAAAGGTGTTAGACATGACATTTTAAATGTAGTTTGTACAGAAGTCACTTTTTTGTCCGCCTCACAGATGTGAACATTACTTTGTTTTTAAACTGATCAGTTTTGCAAAGGGGCCAGAATTATTACTTGTTAGAATTGCTCCAGTTTGAGTCTGCTGCTTTCCTACAATTTTTCAAATTTTATAATGTATTAAATACAATAAACTCTGTTTAAAAAACAAGGTCTGTGTGAAACACATGTTGGGGTGAGGCTATATTAAAATGAAATTTTCCTCTTTAAAGTTTTCTGTGCTGAGCATGAAAAAGAGGCCTAAAAGCTGAGGCCAATTTTGAGGTCAAAACCCACAAAAGGATAAGGATGTTGTCACCTGTTCTAAACAGTTCTGTTTCTACTCAACAAGTGTTCTCTCCTGTGCATTGTTATTCTGCATCGGTTAGCAAGATAAATCCTCCTTCTTGTGAATGTCTTGTTTACAAATTTCAGTTATCTGTTGTTACAGAGCAAACCACACTAACGTAGCAGCTGAACACAATATTTTGTTCTCTCTTGTGACTGTGGCACTCTTGTGGACTGGCCTTCACTGAGCCGCTTCTGCTGCATGTGATGTCATCTGGGCTGTGACTGGCTGGGACCTCCAAGATGGCTCACCCACGGGACTACCAGTTGATACTGGCTGTGGGCCTCTGTGTGTCTGTGGCTTGGGCCCCTCCCAGCATGGGAGCTGGGTTCCAAGAGGGAATGTCGCAAGCACAAGTGTTCCCAGAGGAAGGAGGCAGAAGCCACATTCTGAAAGGCTAAGCCTGGAACGGCTCGGTGAACTTCTGTTGGTTCAGTAGACACAGAGCCAGCCCAGGTTCAAGGGGAGAGGAAATAACCACCTTCTGATGGGGACAGTCACAAAGAATTTTTAGCCATCTTGAAACTACCATACATAACACCTGTCCAAAAGATCCAAAAAGTAGTTCATTACGGCTTGGGAAGAAGTAAGGGGAAAATCTCAGAGCCCAATGATCACTTTTTATTAGCCAGAGAGGTGAAAAACCTGAGATTTCAATACCACTTTGGAATTAAATCCTCAGCTTTTTCACAGTATTAGTGATTCCGGAGGCTCTTCTGTCAGCCCTGCCATCACCTCTCTTCCTTACTTCCTCATTCCAGACACTCAAACTGGCATGATGATAAGATTGACAGGTAAACTATAATGTGTTTCTGCTATGGAGACATTCCTGTGGTGATGGGCTATTTTCATCCTGAGCTTCCTTTCTTTTTTTAAATTAAAAAGTCTGTGCCTGAGGACACTAGTAATGAAAATATCTCTGGCTACTGAAACCAAAAGTAAGCTGTTAATGGCTCCTATCACCCCCTGAAACACAGAGGCAGCCCAAATTCTGAATTACTCTAATGACTGCCAGCCAGTCTTCCACATAGTTGTTTAATTTCCCCTTATTTGAGACTAATACACCACTGTCTCAGATGGAGACAGCCAGGACTGCTCCCACCGGCTGCTTAGTCATTCACGTCCTGAAAGCAGAATGAAATTGCTATATGATTTTACTAATAATCCATTCTCATTAGGCAGAATTTTCCAAAATCAACAAAGCAAGGGCCCCTACTTTGGGACTTTCTGCTAGTTATTGTCATCGGTTAACATTTACCCAGCACTCCCTATGTGCACTTAGTACTGTCCCAACCAATTATTCCACCGAATTCGGTGCCTTAGCTATTATTATCCACTTGATAAGTTTCTTTTCTAAGTTCTTACGCTCATTTATACAACTATAACCCAACTACATTCTACAAAAACTCTGATTCAACTCAAAGGGGCAACCATATCACATGTAATTTTCACATTTTTAGGTCTTAAAACATATAGATTCCTAGATACCAAAGTACTTCAGGAAAGAGCTGATCAATCAAAATACAATTGAGTCACAGTCATATTTTCCCCCTACCTTTTATTATCCAATACACAGCTCATATTCAGACTTCCAATAAGAATCTTTACAGCTATGCTTATTTTCCCTCTAGAGGATCTGATTAAGATCTATGTGTTGCATTTATTAGACTCTAATTTAGAAAGATTCACCCCCCCTCCCCGCCCTGTTTTTTGATCTTCTATGACATTGATTGATTTAAAGAGTCTAGGTCCATTGTTTTGTACTTTGTTGCCAATCTGGATTTGTCTGGTTGTTCCCTCATTGGTAAACTCAGGTTACATTTTTTTTTTTTATGCAAACAACATAGGTGATGTTATGTCCTTCTCATCACCTCACATCGCAAGGGTCTGTTTGGCCTTTAATAGTGACAGTGATTTTTTTTCTTTCTATCTTTATTTTCTGCTGATGTTAATCTTATTGCATGTCAGTTACGGTTTTTTCTTTGGTGATGGTAATTTTGAGACCACTTGGTTGAAATAACAGCCACCACATTTCTCCAATGTAAAAGTAGCTTTTCCCTTTGCAATTAATAAGTAATCTGTGGGATAAATCTGTGCGACTGTACAAATATTGTGTTTCTCAACACACTTTCACCTAATGATTTTAACATTCGTTGGTGATCTTTTCCGAAATCAATCATTACCCTGGTGGTTATAAAAGTGTACTTTTTGAAAAGCTACTATTGCATGCACCATTGGTATTTGAAATAACCCATTCTTGTTTTAGCAAAATACTTTTCTTTAGGACATGCAAACTACAATCTTTGACCTGCCCTTTTTAAGAAATATTATAGAACAATAGAATGAAGCAAGCCACTTCGAAACCAGTTTCTAAATATTAGGTGAGTTTCTACATAGAAATAATACTACTAGCTATGCACTTAATGTTTGCTCCATGCCAGGTACTGTACCAAGCACCTTAACTTGCATTAACTCATTGAATCCTTTTGACCACACTAGAAGTTGTATTATCCCCATTTCTCAAAGAAACTGAAACTCTAAGACATCAAGTAAATGATATGATAAAGGCTAATGTTTGTTTAAGCTTTATAAGGGGGGCTCAAAACAAACTGTTTGAAAAAAAGTAAATGTTCATGTTGTAATAAGATAAGGAAGAAGGTAGACTATGAATTAATAGCCATTTTCTCCTCAGCATGGAAATGTATTCCTGTATTTAAATATTTTGAGCATCCCTAACAATATGTGGGCCACTCAGTTTGGTGGTACTATGATGACCATGACGTGGTTTCTGCCATAGAGTGCTGGGGGATGGGTAGGGACCTGCACATCACGTGGCAGAACTAGGGGATTTACATAGTTAACTACAGTACAAGGTATATGGGATATGTGCCATTTCATATTTATAAACCAAAGATTATAGCAACGCTAAATGATAAGGGATCACATCTGTTTGGAGAAATTAGAAAAGCATCAGGGGAGGTGGCACTTAAAAGATGAGTAGGCTTCCTCAAGGAAGGGTTATAGAGGGAGAGCTGGGGAAGTACAAGGTGGGTTCAGAGCATGGGGTGGGCTGCAGCTGCGTTAATTGGGGAAGAGTGGAACATGGCTGGAAAGGAAGGTGGAATTGGACTAGAGAGGGGAATTGAGTGCCAAGCTAAGGGTTGAACTTCAGTCAGGAGGAGTTGGTGAATCATAGAAGGTGGGCTCTGTAGATATGAGGTCAGACAATTAAGTTTGCAAACTCATCCTAGAAAAAGTGCTACATACCTCATTGCTGAATACCACTGCAGTCACCTTTGAAGTACTCCCCTTGGGAAGCTATGCACTGATGCCAGTGCCTAGTCCAACCTTCAAAGCAATTTTGGACCTCTTTTTCTGGAATGGCCATCAGAGCTGTCGTCGTATTATCCTTGATGTCCTGAATGTCATCAAAATGTCTTCCTTTCAATATTTCCTTTATCTTCTGGTAAAGAAAGAAGTCATTGGGGGCCAGATCAGGTGAGTAGGGAGGGTGTTCCAATGCAGTTATTTGTTTACTGGCTAAAAACTCCCTCACACACAGACAATGCTGTGTGAGTGAGTGCATTGTCTTGATGCAAGAACCATGAATTGCTGACGAAAAGTTCAGGTCATCTAACTTTTTCATGCAGCATTTTAGCACTTCCAAATAGTAAACTTGGTTAACTGTTTGTCCAGTTGGTACAAATTCATAATGAATAATTTCTCTGATATCAAAAAAGGTTAGCAACATTGTTGCAACAAGTTCTCAAATTTAATTGTCAGACCTGTATTCAACTGGGTGTGTGCAGTCTTGATTGGCTGGGAACAGTCTGTTGGTGTGAGGGGCAGTTAAGTGACTGTTTTTCCAGTTCATCCATCATGACTTACCTGGCTAAGCACTGACAATCCAAAGATATATGAGAAAATAAGACATCACCCTTGGTGTAGGGGTGACAAACTCAGATGTCTACAAGGGCCAGATGAGTCACATCAGTTAGGAGAGAGACAAACAAGCAGGAGCACATGTGCCCCATTCAAAGGGGCAGCTCCACAGGTTCTCCAGCAAGAGAACAAGGGGTCCTGAATACTTATACCTTGTTATTCTAGAAAAACTGGAGATTAGGTTTTTGTGTGAACTCTCTAGATAAGCAAATGTTGAAACCAGTTCATTTTTTCAAATGTACAGACTAAACAAGGCATCTGCAGAGTTTGTAATTCTGAGAGTTATGAAGTAATAAAACAGTTTAGACATTCTAGCAAAATCCCATTTGGGTGGAATTACATGTGATGGCACAAGAACTAAATTGTTTGAGAACATAACTTTTATAAAAAAAATAAAAAATTGAGGCAAACTTTTGGGCATAACACCATTGATTGTAAAGATTTAAATCCTGGTATATAACTGACAATAAAGACAATAAGCTACCTTCCCTGAACGCTTACCATTTCCAGGCACTGTGCTAAGGGATTTACAAGTGTTCTTTCTTTCAGTCCCCATAGAAACGTATGAAGTTGTCATTCATTACTACCCCAATTTTATAGATGAGTCAAAAAAATTTTTCAACGTTCAAAAGAAACTTGGAACAACACACACACACACCCCATGTTTGATTAATACCTTGCACTCTTTCTGGTTTCCTAACCCATGCAAAATAATGATTTTACTCTGTCATTGGCAACTGCAATATACTTCATTATAAGACACTAGACAAAAATGCCACTGCAGTAACTTGCTGGTTATAGAATAGGAATTACTAATAACATTCATAACCAACTAATATTAATATGCACGACTAAAGCTCTGAGCAGATGTGTTGTCTCTG